AGATTAAAAAGCTTAGATAAAAGATTATCAAAGCATTAAGTATTAGAAATATGAACTTAAGAAATTCAATAGGTATTGTTTTTCTGGAAGTTCAGTTGTTTTCTAACTACATGTCAAAGCTAGTGGGAGCATAAGTGTTGTGCTTATTTGATAATAATCATCATGATAGTGGGAGCATAAATGTTATGATTGTATGATTATTAAGGCAAGTATTGCAAGTTAGCAATATTAATTATAGAAAACAAGAGTTATACTTTGCAAACTCGTAAGGGTTGAAAAGTTGTTTTGCTATAATTAAGGGGGAGAATATTATGCTTCATTTCAAATCTAAAGGCTTAGGTTGTGGAATGTTAATACTTTTTGGTCAAAGATACATAGTGTGTTCTTAAATTTCGATTATGATTACGGCATTCCTCTTCATAATTCGAATTATGAGAACAGTGGCACACAAAATATTATAGGAGAAGATTGATAAAGTATTAAATCTTCATGTAAGACATTATGCATCATGTCCCATACGCTAAAGGTATAGGATCGATTGCAAATGCTATAATATTTGACCATTCTACAATTTTTCAAATGTCTAGCGTATTAAGAGGGAAAAGGACAATAATCAGTTTTAACTAAGATAATTAAACAACTATCAAAGGAAAATCCAAAGTTCGCCGAGGATTGGTCGTTTGTGAGTAGTTGGAAGCATGATATTGGATGGACCATATCATGAATAGATAAGAGAATGAGTTGTATGGAAAGGTTTCCATATTGAGAGTTAGATATTGAGAATCTATGTCTAGATTAGAAACTTTATGCAAAAGGATGTTCAAAGGAATGTACTTTGAGTGAGAGATATCACATCCATAGAATTGTCTTGTAACAATTTTGATGGACAGCTTTGTAATTCATTGGCAATAGTCATTGTGACCTTAGTGCAGTTTACAAAAGGATCTTTGCATAAAATGTTAGAATCTAGCATATTCTATAAAAAATCATGAATTTTGGTATATTTAAAATAATTTTTCGATAAAAATAGATTCTTAAAAATAAAAAAAAAACAAAAACAAAAAAAAAACGAAAAAGACTATATTTTTGTATATACTAATGTAATGCTTATCATAGTACAACGGAGGCTTTTGCGATAAAAATAAATAAGTGGCTGAGAATGATTCCTCCATTCTCATTTTTTTTTCTTAATTGAACTCTCCCGTATATATATATATATATATATATATTAGGCCTGGCAATTGTGTCGTGTTCGGGTTGGCGTGTCGCGGGTTGACGGGTTGGCGGGTCAAAATATGCCAACCCAAACACGACCCATTTAAATATACAGGTCACAGGTTGGCGGGTCACGTGTTGGCGGGTTTGGAAGATAAACCCATATATGACCACCAACCCATTTATTTATACGGGTTCATAGGTTGGCTGGTTTGTGGGTCAAATTTGGGTTCGTGAGTCCGAATTTTAGACATTTAAGTCTTAAACATCCAAATGAGAATTATAAACATTTATAGAAACGTGTTACAGACTTAGCCTTATAGGTTACGACTTACGACCTTAGACTATTCACCACGACTCAAAATGTCAAAACAGTCAAATTGTCTATGAATCAATGGTATATATTATATAATACTTATTAAATATTCATACTTGATACATAAATACATCTAAAAATAAAATAATTTTTTTATTAAGAATATAAGCGGGTTGGCGGGTCAACCCGTTTATTTTTTGAGAAACCCATATATGACCCGTTTAATAAACACGTTGGCGGGTTGACGGGTTAGCGGGTTGGCGGGTTGAAAAACTCAACCCAAACCCATTTATTTCGTGTCGTGTCGCGGGTCGTGTCGCGTGTCGTGTCGAGAATTGCCAGCCCTAATATATATATATATATATATTATATATATATATATATATATATATATATATATATATATATATATATATATATATATATATATATAGGGTTAGGTTCATGTGAGACGACCTAATTTTGTTAGACCGTGAGATGCATTTTTTTATTTTTTTTATTTTTTTAAATTTAATTTTTTTTTAGTTAATACAAGTTTCGAAAATGATATTTAAAAAAAGAATTTTTGGATTTTTCCATTTATTTTGCATTTTAAAATTATTTTTTAGAATATGTTAGTGTAATATTCTATTAGAATATTTCACGTATTTTTCAAAACAAATTGAATTTATTTTTATTTTTGTTTTAGTTAATTCAAGTTTCGAAAATAATATTTAAAAAAGAATTTTTAGATTTTTCTATTTATTCTGCATTTTAAAATTATTTTTTTAGAATATGTCAGTGTAATATTCTATTAGAATATTTCACTTATTTTTCAAAAAAATCATGAATGTTGGAAAACACATGTTTATTCTTTTCCCATTTCCGCTAGTACGACGGAGGCTTTTGCGATAAAAATAAATGAGTGGCTGAGAATAATCCCCAATTCTCAACCTTTTTTTTCTCAATTGAACTCTCCTCTCTCTCTCTCTCTCTCTATATATATATATATATATATATATATATATATATATATATATATATATATATATATATATATATATATATATATATATATATATATATATATATATATATATATATATATATATATATATATATATATATATATATATATATATATATATGGGTAAGTGAATATACCTAACAACCTTATATAAGCTTAGGTACCTAACCTCATCAAACTACATCATTTTGCATTAAGTTTTCATTGCAATCATCCAAGGTTCTTAAACTTCATCCCTAAACTTGATTTACTTCAAAAAAAATTGAAAATTCATCATTATATTTCTCCTACATCCTTTCATTTGTAGCGGTAGAGTATGAAGCTCATCAAGTGGTATTCGATAGAAAGACGTGATGTAAAAGAAAGATATTGGTGAAAGTCCAAAGATTTTGGAAGTAATCAAGTTATAGGGTTGAAGTTTAAGAACCTTAGCAATTACAATGTAAATATTATACAAACCGATGTAGTATTATAGAGTTAGGTACCTAAGCTTATATAAGGTTGTTAGGTATATTCAATTTACCCTATATATATATATATATATATATATATATATATATATATATATATATATATATATATATATATATGGTTAGGTTCATGTGAGACAACCTAATTTTGTGAGAGCGTGAGATGCATTTCATTTCTTTATTTTTTTTTTTAAATTTTTTTTAGTTAATTCAAGTTCCGAAAATAATATTTAAAAAAAGAATTTTGGATTTTTTCATTTATTTTGCATTTTAAAATTATTTTTTCGAATATGTCAGTGTAATATTCTATTAAAATAATTCACGTAATTTTCACAAAAAATGGAATTTATTTTTATTTTTTTTAGTTAATTCAAGTTCCGAAAATAATATTTAAAAAAAGAATTTTTTGATTTTTCCATTTATTCTGCATTTTAAAATTATTTTTTAGAATATGTCAGTGTAATATTCTATTAGAATATTTCACTTATTTTTTTTAAAAAAAACGGAATTTTTTTTAATTTTATTTTTAATTTTTTATTTTTTTTAGTTAACTCAAGTTCCGAAAATAATATTTAAAAAAAGAATTTTTGGATTTTTCCATTTATTTTGCATTTTAAAATTACTTTTAGATTTGGTCTCACGGTTTCACAAAATTAGAATGATCTAAAATGAACCTGAACATATATATATATATATATATATATATATATATATATATATATATATATATATATATATATATATATATATATATATATATATATATATATATATATTGTTGTGGATTGATTATGTAATAATTTTTTTTTAAATATCCCGTTCTCCGTCCACGGGGATTTCAGGCGACCGCATTAATTTGTTGGCATAAAATGCAAGTTACGTGAATATATATTTGTCAAATTGACATTGCATTATTTTATAGAATACTTGTCAATAAAATTTCGCCTGAAAGTCAGAGTACTAAATGCATACCAAATGCAAAGTGGCCCATTTTCTTTTAAATTATTAAAGTTTGATCAACTTAATTTGCACAATTTCTAGTATGATTAAAAAAAACAGAATTTGATAAAGTATATTACGCCAAGTTTTAGTTTATGTCATACAAATTCTTCAAAATTTGTGTATGTGTTCTGAAATTTTGGAACAAACTCGAATCGAGCTATATATATTTTATTAAATTAAATTTAATAAATGTATTTAACATATTCCAACTTTTATAATGAGTTTGCTTTATTGACTTGGATTCTGTAGATTATTTTGAGATTTTTGAACTCTTGAATCCGGTTTGCATCTTTTAAAATCAGGTTCGAGCATTTATTTTATATAAGTATATATATGTAGTGATGGATTAAAACGTTAGAAATTTAGACTTTTAGTTCGTCAAAATTCGAATATTATAGATGCAAAAGTAACATTGAAACCCAGCTAACGTGTTTTTATTTGATTTAAGAGGAATCACATTGCTTCATAAATACGATATTAGGTAGTTGTGGGCTTAATAGTATAAATCTTTGCTTCACAGTCAAACCACAGCTTCCATACCTGTGGTTTGCAGCCCAATTGTACTCAACATTCAAAAGCCACATTGGAAAAGCTTGCAAAGCCAATTGACTCAAGCTCTTTATTTATTTATTTATTTATTTTACGGTTAAACGATATATATTTTTAGATCAATATCTATACTACTAAAATTAAAAGCTTCTATTTAAATGAATATAATTCGAGAACAACAAATTTTTATATCACATTTATTCAAAATTGCCATCTTTTCCTTCTTAGTCATTAATAATACGATACTATCAATGTAATATACTTAGCTTAATCTAAACTAGGTGAGTGACCCCGCAAGATGTCAGATTTTTTGTTCGGTCTATCTTCATGGACTATTTGTCTATACTTTGAATATGAAAGTACATTACTAAGTCTTTAATTTGGAATAAAGTTTAAACATTAAATAGTTCAATGAAACTACATTGCTATTTATTGATATTTTTCAAAGTAAATGGCTCAAAAAAAAGTTCATATTCATCCAGCAGAGTAGTTGGCCCCCATATAATTCACATTCATGAAACTCTATGTGCAACAATGTTGATTCACCAATCTCCACTGAGATAAACTATAAAATGGATAAGAGTAACAATGGTCAAGAATGTGCAAATCTGTAAGCAACAAAACAAAAGTTTAAACTAAAAAGTCAGCATACGCAGTTATACAATTACAAAAAACATGAAAATAAATAAGGTAATAAAGTAGTCAAGGGCATACAACCACTATAAATCATAATCAGAGACAATTTCTAACTTGTGACGTTTCAAGTTCAACAGTCTTTAGGGTTGTTGTTCCAGCTTCAACTTAGAACAAAAATTACATATCAGTTCAACGAGGCCATATTTTTCATATGCAAATACAAAATAATATAAAAGCAACACCATGTCAGATGAAGTTGCACAATGTTATTTCTTCTTGTTCTAATTATTCCATATCATGTAATCAGATTTAATTAGTTCAGTGTGAACTGCAACAATACCGATTATCATATGGCATAGTAAAACCACATTTCTACCATTGTCCATTTTATTTCTTTTTATTATGATTACAAAACCATATGAAGATCAAACAGAAAAAGAAAAATTGAACCTCAATGGCTTTGTTGGAAGTAACACGAACGACATTGATGAAATTGCCCCTAAAAAGGCTGGTCCAACCTTCAGTTTGCATAATATCTTGAAAATTTTCACCAGCAGAATGTCGACCTGGCTCCCTTGGGAGTGCATATCCCTCAGATGTACAGGTTCTTGGCACCAGTGTCGTCAACGCAATTCACAGTGGTAGCCACTAGCAAACCAAGTGACATGCGAAATTTGCTCCCAACGGAACCTCCGCGACCTGAAAAACATGAATCACATATCAAAATTAGCTGATGTTTTCATAAACATGAGAAATTGATTTAGTAGTTGTATATTTTTTTGTTATTATGTAAAAATCACTTTACATACAGTGTTTAAACCAACAAATGATATAGCTTTAATTTTTTCATCATCACAAATGACATTTACTATTTCCTGCCTCAAATTTGAAAAAAGTATTAGATTGATGATGCTAAATAATAAATATTACTTGTAATGAGAGAAAATAAGTGAGATGATTAAATTACATTGGTGCCATGAACAATATTCAAAACACTATTTGGTAAACCAGATTTCACTATAAGTTCTACAAGCATTATAGAAGCCCCTGAAAGAAAAAGTGTAAATGCATAATAAAAAAAAGTTAAAAATAACATTGTTTTGATATATATATATATATATATATATATATATATATATATATATATATATATATATATATATATATATATATATATATATATATATATAGAGAGAGAGAGAGAGAGAGAGAGAACAATTACTTGGATCTTTTTCTGATGGCTTTAGAACGAAAGTGTTACTACAAGTAACAGCAACCGGAAGCATCTGCAAGAAAGATAAAATGGAAGATTTAATAATCAAGAATCAAGAATGAAGATAACTTGTTCTTCTTTTTCTTTATTCATGGTTAAACAGAGTAAGGGTAAATTGGGAAATGAGAATCTTAATCATACCCACAAGGGAATCATTATTGGAAAATTGAAGGGGCATATACCAGCACAAACACTAATAGCCTCTCTGATGTCATAAGTATCCATTCCATGAGATACATCCGAAGCAAACTCACCCAGATGTCATGACATTTGCATGTTCAACCACCTCTATAAAATACACACACAAATTAAAATTATATCAAAATCTTGATTTAATTTCTTACTTTCTACACTTTTAATCATATAAACGAGCTTACCTAGTTAAACTAGAAAATAAATTAGGGAAGAGGAATCGATACTATTACCACTGTAGCAAACATTTTTTCTAGGTCGGTATGATAAATAGGTAATTGTAGCTACTCGTTGATAAAAACTAAAGTAAAAATATAAAAAATAAAAAGAAAGAAAAAAGAAAAAAACATTTAAGATCAATAGAAGACAGTAGAGATTCTTGTGCTTTTCAACACTATTCCATACCTTGTTATCCCAAAAGAGAAAATAAATAATAATATGAAAAATATCACATAAGGTGAAGTAAACAACTAATGAATAGAAATACTTTAGATACCCATGGACATGTCGTATGTACTATTTGAATTTGTTTATTACTCAAACCCAACATCTCATTGACTGCAGCCCCCAAAGCAGGCAACACCAAAATATCTCCTTTATTAATCACATTAAATTGTTTCTCTCCATTCTTTAAAAGAATTCTTTAACCTCCATCTCCTCTAGCCTCTTACATGACAAAACATAAGTGAATTTCATACTGAATTTGACACATTAGATCGAAATACAAATTTATCAAATCCATTATGCATAGATCAACTGAAAGCACAACACAACATATATTAAAACAGTGATAAGATACAATTGGTTTCTAAAAAACTAAGCGAAATGAATCATAATAGTACCTTTATTAACAGTAGGATTATGGATAATTTCATTTGTGATCCAAATCTCATCATCAGGGAACTATTTTCTTACTTCATAAACTATCCAAACTGCACACTCAACATCCCAACAAAAGTTATGAGATTCTGCAAGCTTCACAGTAACATTTCCCGATGTGTAAACGAAATTGTTCTCTTTCAACATCTTTAAGATGTTAAACATCATATCTATTATAATTTTCACTACATATCGACTAAAATCGCAATTAAATCAAGTGAAAATCCAAAAATTGATATTATGTAAACATAGTTCTAAAATTTATATACTTAATTGATAATCTTTTAACCTGAGTTGTATTCTTTAATTGCATAGATTGATGTTTAGAAAGCCATTCTTTCATACTCCTGTAGCTTCCTGTCCATGTTATTGTAGCCACAAATCTAATTTGATTGTTTTTATAAAAATTAGTAAATAATTTATAGAAAAGGAAAAAAAAAGTTGATAAGATCTTCATGGTTTAAGATAGTAATGAAACTTACGAGTACTGCTAGAAGCTTACAGTTTTTAGTTATTGAGTCAAGGGGTCAGCCCTGAAACAAAACAAAATCAATGAAAGTGACATATCCAAACCTGGAATTCGTTGATGATTTCTACATAACAAAAGTTGAGAAGGAAAGCATCTCCATGTCAGACAATTTTTCGAACACCTTCTAAGCATATGATGTGGGTAGGGATTTATTGAACTCAACATAGATGGAGCTCTACGTGCGTCAATGATTTTACGATGGTCTCGACATCGATCGGAGAGAATTGGGGACGAAGAGGGAAACAATCAATCGACACCGGTCAAAGGAGTGTACGTCAGAAAGAATATGTGATTCAGAGGTTGAAGGAGGTGAGTTAAGAATCAAAAAGGGGAATACGGTAAATCGATAATGGAGAAATTTTGAGACGATATGTGAAGTGAAGTGGTTTGGATCTGGGGAAGCTGAATTGAGACGGTGGCGGTGGAGAAGGAACTGGAAGAATCATAGATGTTCTTGGACTACATCTTGGACTGCTCGAATCCCTTTACCATCGATCCATTACCTTGATTAGGGAAAGAGTGAGTATGCGAGAGGCGGAGCAGGTTATGAACACTGAAAAAACTCACAGAAGAAGAATACGTATAGAGGAATTCGATGAGATGGTGCAGGTGGTAAGGAAACTTGATTTAGCACCACCATATAGAAGAACAAGATAGTGACTGGTGATGAGAAAACTTGATTCGTGGGATTAACAACAGAGCAGGATGTTAGTGGTGGTGCGTCAACGAAGCATAGAGCAGCTGAGAAGCCAAATATAGGGGATGAAGGAGATTGGCAGTGATGATCGAGACGATACTGATTTTCCTTATGGTAGGGCTTAAAGCGAGAGAGATGAATGATGGTGGCCGTGGAATGTGCAATTCGTCGACCTCGTCTCCGCGGCGGGGCGTCGAGCCCGGATTTTTGATGATCGGTTGGGTATGGAGGAGAGCTGATCTAGGCAACCGGTGGCGGAAGGTAGATCAATTTGATGAAATTGAGATAAAAAAAAGCTGATGCGACTGAACTGGAGCAAATGAGCAGTACATTGGAGGGAATTAGAAGAAGATAGATCTAGGAGAGACAGTCGGTGGATAATCCACCGTTCTGTAACCTTTTGATTGGAGAGTAATGGCGGTGACAGAGAGGTGTAATAACATGTGTACACAAAGAATCGATACAATACCATAAATTACCCAAAACGAAAATCATAAAAAAAGTCTAGAAAATGATAAACACCATAATCAAATGACCAAAAGTGTCAACAAAACACCAAGTTCACTATTCCTAAGAAGTATACATCTTTAATATATATAATATAATATTATACTAACTTCAAAACATAAATGAAAATCCTTTCTAATAAGTAAAGATCTTTTTATCACATGTCACATTCTTATTTATTTTGTCACATTTAATTTTATGGTTATTTTAAATCAATTTATTTTCTATATATCATTTTATGGTTTTTTTGCATTTTATTAAAATCTAGATAATATTTAAATGTAATAATAAATGCATATCAATTTTATTAATAAAATTTTCTTCAAATTTCAAAATTACTAAATTAAAGATTTATTAATTTTCTTTCTTTATTTATCTAAATTATTTGTTTAAATTTAAAAGAGAAAAAGAAAAAACACACTTTAATTTTTATAATTTAATATTTTCTCACTTTTCTTATAAATTCATACTTCTCAAATGTTTAGAATTTTGTATTTAGTTTTTCTTTTAAATAAACTTACATAATATATGAATGTCACACCTAGTATCAAATAAATATAAAAAAAATTGTCCAGCTACTATTTTATAATAATTAAAATATTTAAGTAAATTATTGAATTTAAAATTTAAAAAGAGATTCCCAATATCGTATTAGTTTGAAAAAAAATGAAAATGTCAAAAAAAAAAAACATCATTTGTGTTTTTCTAATAATATTTTTCAATAGTAAAATTTTAAATAAAATGTTAAGAGTAAAACCTAAATAAAAAATACTAAATTATCAAAAAACTGACCAAAACCTATTTTTTATGAAAATATACCAAAATAGATATTTTTTTTTATATATATAAAATTCATTTGAAACTCTCATCTCTTGACTTATGCTAATTAATTAATTAGTTAATTGAAATATGTTGTATATATAAGAACATTATTTTCATATTTGATTACACAAAACTTCTTCTATTCTACTTGCATTAGTGTTATCTATATCGGATGAAAGTGAATAAGAAGATGCACATGTATGCTTCTAAAAAAATTGTTAAACCGTGAAGTATATTGGGAAGGACTCAAAACATATATCATAATCAATATTTTAAAGTACTAAAATATATATGGTATTTTTTATATTTTCCAATTTATATCTATAAATTTTTCCATCTACTTTTTCTATATTTCAAAAAAAAAAAAAAAAAAAAAAAAAAAAAAAAAAAAAAAAAAAAAAAAAAAAAAAAACTATGGTTATGTATTTAGATTCGAAAGAAAAAGACAAATACATTTGAGTTAAATTGTTACAGTTTCTTAAGGATGTATTGCAAGTGTTTTGTATTATTGTTTAATTGAGTTTCGTCATTGAGTATGTAACTAATAAAATTACAAGAGTAGACTTATATTATTATTGAATATATTACTTGAATAAATATATATAAGTAAAAAAGATATAAAAATCTGACTGTAACATCCCAAAAATATAGTCCAAAAAATTCGTTTTAAATTATTTAAGAAAAACTAATAATTCATAAAACAACATAATAAAATCACATGTCGTGTATCTCAAACATCATATCAAAATATTATGTCAAAATGATATATCAAAATATCAGAGTTTAAAATATCACAAGCTGAAAACTATGGTGTGTGCCATGCAATCATCTCGAGCTCTTCCCTTTGCTACCAGAAGTACCTGAAACCAAAACTCAAAACTATAAGCACGAAGCTTAGTGAGTCTCTCCAAACTATCACATAACATACACATATACATGCAAATAGGAGATACGAGCCCCGCCCACACTCATAGAGATACGTACCTTGCCCACACTCCGCTATCTGGGAGATACGGGCCCCACCCACACTCTACTAGCTATGAGATACGGGCCCCGCCCACACTCAGCTACTATGAGATAAGGGCCCCGCTCACACTCGACTGCTATGAGATATGGGTCCCGCCAACACTCAACTACTAAACATACATACAAGTATCACACAGACAACAAGTATAACTAAATCTATCAACCAGTCATATATATCCATACTCAAATAAAACTATGAGATACGGGTCCCACCTACACTCAACTACTATGAGATACATGCCCTCACCCACACCCGGCTACTAATCATACATATGTAGGCAGGCCTTGGTGCCTTCGACCCACTCTACTGGAGGAAAACATACCTCTCAAACTAGGTGCTGAACTCTCGTGTGAGGAATCCCTACTGGTTATTCCCACAACTCCCCAACTATAATTTCACAATAAACGCTAATTCAAAACTAAAAATCCTTTTGAGGGTAAAATGACCATTTTACCCCTGGTCAAAGTCAACGCTCTGGTCAAAATCAAAGTTAAGGTCAACTTTCAGTTTGATCCAACTCATCGAGTCACCTCTTAACTCGTCGAGTTTTTATGTTATTCAGACTCGTGATA